TATATATATATATATATATATATATATATATATAGCACTTCTTTTGAGTTTCTTTGGATTCACTTTCCCCTTTTACAACTTTATGACCTAATTTCTTCTCAATGTCAAAAAACCCACATCCAAAAATGGTATGTTTTTCATCGATTCATCAATGAATACATTTTTAGCGATTTTTTAATCAATATACGGTTACAAGCCATTAATAAGGTCGTGACGGAAGGTGAACTAATGAGAGATTCTGAAAGTTACAAGTCATTATGTTTTATGACCTAACTTGTCAGTGTCGAAACCCGCATTTAGAATTGTAGATTTTCTTTCATGGTTCACCGATAGATACGTTCTCAAAGTCACCTTAACCAATATCCAACTAACTGCCATTATAAATTTATGTATTTTTTTATTAACTTGGATATCCAACTCGCTATACGAGCCGACTAATCCCAAGACGACCACCAGCTTTGCAGATAGCCCGGAGTCACCACATTTGAACTTTTGTGCCCACAAGGGGATTTTTATTCCTCATTGAATTTGAATCTGTAACCTTCTGACACTTTTGATCTTTGGAGTCAAGCTCAAACCAACCAGACACCACTCTTGTGGTTATAAATTTGCATCTTTATATCTTGGCTCGTGGTAGATCACTCTTGTGGATTTTGTCTGTACACATAGGTCGTATTAATGGCTGAAAACTTGTTCTCACTCTTAAATTTAGTCTTCTTTTGTTAGATTGATACCCTAATTGTCAGGTATATGACACCAAATTAGCAGACGTCAGTAGTAATTCATCGTGTGTCACAAACTGGACAAATGATGTTTATTATATTAATCTACATATTAAGTCACTTTCAACAAACAAAAAATAGATCTGAAACCCGTACTCAAAAAAAGCTCATGAAGGTCAAAGCACTCCGAGAAAGCAGTGTAATAATATCTCATTCCAGTCAAAACCTTCACGCTCTACTGCCACTTGACACCCGTTCATCTGATATTTGATCCATGTCCAGTATATGAGATACCCTAAGATGCTAAAGTCGTCATCAATGAGAATGTCGCCATTCTCACACGGCTACGGTTTCCAATATAAAATGATAGATGTGTCGATAATCGTATTTTCTGGGGAGGGTAAAAAAGTAATTCCCCATACTAGACCTTGTCTGTTTTGGGCTCCTTAATGGGCTTTTGAATTTATCTTTTCCATTCTCCATTCATCTTTAAGCCTTGATATGAAACTATCAGCCTTGGCGTTGACGTCTGGGCTTGGGAAAAATTTGGGCTCAGACCCGGACCCGAATCTGGGCCCAATTGAATCTCCACCGTCGATTATAGTTGACGAGAGATCAACGTCTTCACGGTCCGGTGAACTACAGACGGAACTGTTGGTGCTCCGTATGCTAACAAAATCTCCTCGGAGCTCGAATCTCATCGCCGGCATCCTAAACGGCGGTGGAGGTGGCGGCATTGGAATCAATGGAGATTGTGAGCCGCTCGGTAGAAAATCGTCCCTGTCGTAGTAACTGCTTGCTTTTGTTGGTAGAGGCGGTTTACCTTTGCTCGTAGAATGGCGACGGTGAGGCTCCGATTTCGGTGGAGATGGTGGAGGTGGAGATTGAGATTGAGTTTGAGCTTGAGTTTGACGCTTAGATAATTGTTTTGATTTCGCAGGAACGGTATATCTCGGTGGTGTCATCGGCGGAGGTGGCGGCGGTGGTGGTGGAGGAGCGGTGGATGGTGAGTGAAAACGCTTGCTTTTGTTGCCGGATTTGAATAAGTTGTTGAAAATTGAGCTTGGCGGCGGAGGTGGTGGAAGTGGAGGAACTCCTGGTGAAATTGTAGCAGGAACGGAGTGAATTCTCTTATGTTTACCTCCTTTTTTGAACAGATTTTGGAACATTGAAGGAGGCGGAGGTGGAGGTGGTGGCGGAGGCGGAGGCGGTGGTGGCGTAAACGATTGCTGTTGTTCTTGTACATCCGGTGATCGAACGGAATGTAAAGATGGTGGAGATGAACCAGAACTGCCGGAAATATTTCTCAACTTCCGTTTGTTCTTCCTTTTTCTCTGATTATACAAAGAAGATATGGCTGTAGCTATCTCCTTGGTAGCATCACTTACTTTCCGCTCAAGTTTCTTATGTTTATGATGTGATCGATGCACCCTAACCTCCATCGGTGGCGGAGGCGGTGGTGGAGGTGGCGGAGGCGGTGGTGGTGGTGGAGGAGGATTGGATCTCGTTTTATCCAACTCACGGGATTCAATTTTCCTCGAAACGTCGATCTTTACGTTCCGTCCAACACTTCGGAATGAATGTTTCCTCGAATTTGGGGATAGAGCTGAAGACGGAGGAGGAGGCGGCGGTGGCGGAACTGTCGCCGGTTCCACCAATCGACGCTGTTCCCGATTATCCGGAGCATTTGGAGTAACCTCGAAAGTATCCACGCCAATCTCCTTCACATCAGAAAATTCTCCCTGATCTGCTTCACTCCGCCGTGATCCATGGCCGATATCACCGGAACCCGGCGTCGATCGATATAAATTATCCCTTTCTCTATCGATCCGCCGTGAAACGCTGCTGTAATACCTAGACACCGGCGAAGAATACATATCGACGTCAAAATCATCAAAAAACCGATTCCGATTCTCGCCGTTGTTCCACAACGATTCCTGCCTCAAATCCGGATACGAACTGCTACTTCTTCTCAATCCACTCGACACCATCTTCCGATCGGAAAATCCACCCCATATTTGATCCGACGACTGAACACCACTACCACCACTAGGACCGGTTACAAAACCGTTCGTTTGATCGGCGACGTCCCCGGAGGTCGAAACGTCATCGTTTCTTCGAGCCAAAACTCCGCAAAGAATCGCGAAAAGTACTAGAAAAATGTTGAGTGAATCCCAGGTAGATTTTACAGAACCTGGTTTAAGAATATGAGAAGTATGAGATAGAAATGGAGGGAGGAAGAAGAAGAGAAAAAGTAGGGCGAGTATTGGGATAACGATGATGAGAACAACAGGGTCAATGATCGGAGACGATGGTGATCCACGACGGCGATTGGCGGTGTTTGGTGGTTGGAACCAGAAGGTGGATGGTGAGTCGGGATCTTGCTCCATGGGGTATGAGTTGGAGAAAAGGTCTCTTTTTGGGGTTTAAAGGTGGAGGTGGAGGGGGGATTTGATTTAAACTAAAAAGGTGAATATAAAGGGGAGATATATAGAGGGATTTGAATTAAATTTAAATAAATAATAAAATATAAAAATAGAATTTAAGAAAAAATGAAAAATGAAAATTTAAATATATGAAGCAACAACACATGGCAAATTTAATTGCCCTTTGCTTTCTATAATTTGTATACATCGTTTTCAAATAATTTCCAAAAATCTTCATAATTTTCCTAACAAATATTTCTTTTTTCGTTATATATAGACTTGAGATGATGTGAGATCAGTCTGTTTTCGTGAGACCACTTACTTATGTTTGAAATTTCATATCAAAGGGTTTTGAAAATAATCTTCACAGTGTTTTTGCTGTGAATGTCAGTGTTTTGCTGTGAAATTTCAAGTGTAAAAAAATGATCTCACGAAAACATGTTGGTCACATGTTTTAAAACATTTAGTTGGTGCAAAAGATTATTATTGACAATCTTGAAGAGTTTTATATGGAATCTGTTCTTTTTTTATTAACCTGGATATCCGACATGTTATGCGAGCCAACTACAAGACGATCATCTGCTTTGATGGTAGCCCGGAGTCCCCGCATTTTAACCTCCGTGGCCACAAGTAGAGGTGATCAAAAACCCGATCAACCCAACTTAACGTGAAATAGCTCAACCCGAAACAACCCGATGTCTGATCCAGTTGTAAAATTTCCAAACTATGTGTATTGAGTTGATATTGGGTTACTATTATTTGAACCCAACCCAATCAGGTTCATCGGGTTTGAACTGCAAGCATTAGGTTGGGTTGTTCAAATGTCTTCAATCTCATCAACCAACCCATTAGCACCCCTAGCCACAATGGGATTTTCATTACTCCTTAGATTTGAACATGAGACCTCTAGACACGTTTCACCTTTGGAGTTCAAACTTAAAACAATCAGACACTACTCTTGTGGTTGGAATCTTTTCTTTATGAACTATATGTGAGAAGACATTTTAGAGTTGACTCAACAGTTGAAACATGCAGAGACTGAAGGGTTTCAAGTCCTTTTTACCGTAAGATTTAAAGTTAAACATTTTGTGTATTTGAATAAAAATTATTCCGTCTCTTTTTCAATTGAGCTACACGTCCGAAAAGACGAGTGTCTCTAATATTTAGGTAAAACCTAGTTTATATGTGAGAATATAAGATGCAACGTTTTTTTTTTGCTTCTAATTTCTATTATGGCAAATTGCATGAAAAAGTAACGTACTTTAACTTGATTTATATTTGGTAACGTACTTTTAAAACTTTCATTTTGGTACCTAAGATGTAAATTTTAAACATTTAAGTACCCGGGTAACAAATTGAAACATTAACCGCTTACATGCTGATGTGGCGAGTAATGTGGTATCCAACTCAGTATTATTTGTTATTCAACCCAATAAAATCATATCACTCGCCACATCAGCATGATAACCGGTTGATGCTTCAAACGGTTATCTGGGTACTTAAATTCTTATAACTTTACATCTTAGATATCAAAATGGAAGTTTTGAAAGTACGTTACCCAAAAATAGAAATCAAGGTAAAATACGTTACTTTTTCATACAATTTACCCTATGTATAAGGTATTTTCGTCTAAATATTTAGCACATCACGTTTGTGATACAAAAATGAACGTTTCAAAACTACAATACATTTTATAAATATCAGATCAAAACACGTTACATTTTCCTGTAACTTGTCCAATTAATGAACAATCTTTATGTATATTTAATGTTCTTGTATTTTTAACAGATTATTTTCCTAAAATCAGTAGTTTAATTGATTAAATGTCGATGTTAACTTGCAAATCAGAACGTAACGGATTTTTATAAGTTTTAGATCTTTAAAAATACATGTTCTTACAAAAATTAATAATATAATTTCAACCTGATATAAACATGAAAAGTATGCAATTAATATGTTTATCTAGTATTATTAATAGAGCAAATTGCATGAAAAAAGTAACGTACTTTAACTTGATTCATATTTTGGGTAACGTACTTCAAAAACATTCATTTTGGTACCTAGGATGTAAAGTTTTAAACGTTTAAGTAATTGGGTAACCGTTTGAAGCATTAACCGGAAATCATGTTGATGTGGCGAATGATTTGACTTACCTTTTAAATTTATAATTTTATATTGAATTGGATACCACGTCACTCGCCACATCAACATGGTAACCGATTAATACTTCAACCGGTTACCCGAGTACTTAAATGTTTAAAATTTTACATCTTAGGTACCAAAATGGAAGTTTTGAAAGTATGTTACCTAAAATAAAAATCAAGTTAAAATACGTTATTTTTTCATACAATTTGTCTTTATTAATACTTGACGGTTTATATGATATTTTTTTTGCTCAATTTACATGCATTTTACGTTCCATATGAATCTACTGAACTAAAAATTTTCAGAATTTAACATACTATTATATCTGCATATACACATATACATATTCATTAATTAAGGTAATATAATTAACATAATAAAATGATTGACTCATATTGGACCTCACGATTAACACAAACTAATTACTTCTCATTTGATTAAGCCTATATATATATATATATATATATATATATATATATATATATATGTAAAACTATGAGATATATAATGATATGAAATTTTCAACCCTTATGTCATAATTGTACTGCTTTGGTTTGAAAGCTTCAATCTTGTATCTATAACTATTATTAGGGGTGAGCAGCAGAACTGGGTACCCAGTTATGGAACCGGAACTGATATGAGTGGTTCCGGTTCCTAAAATACGGAACCGATTGAGAATGGTTTCGGTTCCGGTTCTCAATTTTTCGGAACCGTTACCCGTCGGGTACCCGGTATTTTTAAATAATAAAATTATTATTATTTTTTAATATCAAATTTATATTAGGTTTACATCTTGAAAGCACGCCGTCATTTTCATTCTTCATCTAAATTCTTCATAAAGAATGATTCGTATTTTTTTAAATTGTTGGATTCATAGTATGTAATTGTTAAACTTTGAAAATTTACTATTATAGTATGTAATYGTTAAACTTTGAACATTTTCTATTAGTCTATTATGGTTTGTAATCGTTAAACAATATTTGTAACCATTATTATATATAATTTGTATTCTTGCTTATTTATTTAGTGTTTTGACAACGTTTTATTTTTTATTTCTAAATAACAAAATTTTAATATTTTAGGAAGCGGATACCCGGAAACGGAACCGGTTCCCGGCGGTTCCGGTTCCAGTTTCAAAAATTTAAGAACCGCTCTAACTGGTTCCGGTTCCAATATCTCAAGAACCGCCGGTTCCGATTACGGTTCCGGTTCCTGTCAAAAAGGGCGGGTACTCGCCTATGCTCACCCCTAACTATTATAGTATAATTTTTTTTTGAACTGATTATATCTAAAGTCAAAAAGTCAAAAACATTTAAATCAGATAAAACTCTAATTTATGAAAATTTGATATGATTTATGTTAAAGCATGTATTTTTATATCTCTTATTTGTTATATCTGTATAGTATAAGGACTCATTTGTAATTTTGTATTCTATATATACTAAGCAATAATATGCAAAACCTAACGGGATTTTCACATATTCCAACATGGTATCAGAGCTGAGCATAGGAGGGGGTAGCCAATGTCGTTGCTGAAGCTTCTTGGCTTCGGAACCTTCTTCTTGAGCTATCTTGTCCTCTTTCACGCACGACGGTTGTTTTTTGTGACAATGTCAGTGTCATGTACTCAGCTTCTAACCCAGTTCAGTACCAAAGAACCAAACATTTGGAAATAGATTTACATTTTGTTAGGGAACGAGTTTGCGATTGGATATGTGCGTGTGTTGCACGTTCCTTCGGCTCATCAGTTAACAGATATTTTTACAAAGGGGTTACAGGCACAATTATTTTTAGACTTCAGAAACATTTTAAGCCTTCGTCAACCTCCCGCACAAACTGAGGAGGCGTGTTAAAGCATGTATTTTTATATCTATTATTTGTTATATTTGTATAATATATATGAATTTGAACCCAATATACCTGGCCTTCGCGAGAACCTCAAGCACACACAGTGGAATCGTAGACAGTCAAGTGAAATCCAATTACTAAGCAATAATATGCAAACACCAACGGGATTTCCACATATTCCAAACAGTTCACAATAAAAAATCGATAAAATTTAACGAAATTATACGTAAAATCTCTTGATTCATGAAACGTTAAGACTCCTATAATACACACAGACATAAAGAAATAGACGACATAAATCGTTAATGAAAAAACTCAATTGAATATTTCAAATCCAAGGAGGAATAAAAATCCCCTTGTGGCCACGGGAGCTCAAATGCGATGACTCCGAGCTATCTGCAAAACAGGTGGTCGTCCTAAGATTAGTCGGCTCGCATAACGGGTTGGATATCCAGGTTAATAAAAAACGAATTAAATTAAATATTTCAATTGAATAAAAAACAAGTTATATTTCGTTTATACGCTATCAAAATAAGCAAGTCCCGATCTCAAGGAGAAAAATGTCATTTTACATGAACCAAAAAGCCAAAGCCCTGTTTTAAGGCAAAGCAACTTTCTGCTGTGGTCCAATATTATGAAGAAAAGGTAGTCAAAAGGATTTCTTTTAAATCTTTGATCATAACGACAATTATCGAATCATTTATCTTTTTAATATATCTGATCTCATTATTTGATACGTATAGGGTCAGATTCAGGGGAAAACCGTAAAAAAAAAAGAAAAAATCAGAAGAACACTCTGGTAATCGTTTATTTGAACGGTATGCATATGTGCATACAAGTAATTTTAAGCAATTGGTTTGGTATGCACATGTAGTGGTGCTCAAAATACCGGCCAACCCAACCCGAAAAAACTTAAAAAAAACCTCAACCTGATGTAACATGACGTATTGTTTATACAAAATTAGACCAAA